CCTTTCCTTTAGGTGCTCAGGACTCTTCTCGTGACTGATCATTCAATGACCACCCTTAGTTCTCAGCCCGTGGCTATCTTCTCTTCTGTATACGGCCAGTATTTTTCACCCTTCCCTTGTTTGAGCAAACTACGAAATGAATAAGCATAAGCGGTCCTTACAATCTCAGCCAGTTGAAGATTGAAGACTTGTTTTAACAGATGGCAAGCGTTAAAACCAAGCTGGAATCTATAATGTACACGTCCTATGATCTTCTATTGCGATATCGTTGGCTATTAATTTTCCTTACTCGTTTTAGAATATCACATTTGTGGATTTACAACATTATTCGTATATAAATTACACTAGTTTTCTTTGACTTTATTATTGCTATATTTTGTTTATAATAGCTTTTTTTTGTCATTAAAATATGTACAAGAATATACATCACACCATGTTTATTAATTGTATCTATGTATATCTGTGTGTGTAAATGTTTTAGATGGGTGAAATGATTATAAAGTCATTTCACATTGTCCGAGTTATATGCCACTCGATGTTGTGAATGTAACTCAGCTGTTATGTCAAAACACGAAACGTGTAGGATGTTTCTACACTAGATGTTTGTGTTCTGTTATCCAACAACGATGTTTTATTAAAACTGAAACAAAAAATTATAGGAAATATAATTAAATAATCATTTACGTAGTGTAACAAGGGAGTTGTAACTTTACATGACTTGTTGATGAATATTGATTATAAATATTTTTGTTGTTAAGCACAAAGCTACAGAATAGGCTATCTGTGCCGTGCCCACCGCGGGTATCGAAACCTGGTTTTCAGTATTATAAGCCCCCAGACGGGGAGGGTATAAATATGAAAGTTTCATAAGTAAGAAACACTTTTTATTTTCTGATTTTAGTTAGTTTTCTGGCTGTGCTTTACTTGTTGAGATGATATGCACATTTCTTGGTTGGTACGTTGTATTCTTAGGTGCAGTGATAACCTCAGAGATAAGACTAGTAATCACAATAATCAGAGGAGCGGCAGTAAACGTTAAATTAATTTCCTATATGACTGAAATGTAGGAAGTAGAGACAAATTAGCAATGAAGAACAAATAATGCTTTATTGTGCAAAAGGCAAACAAACACAATTCAGCAAGCCGTGTACACTGGATATTAATTAGACAGTGCTCTTCTCTAGAGACTGGAGAGAAATCTATACCAGCAGAAATTCCGAATTACATTGAGAGAGTTAACCACTACATAAAAAATAACATAACAGGGTATCTCCCTCAGAGAACATGCGTTATCCTCGTTACTCTTTGTCATTCTATAAGAAAAAAAACAAAAAAACAGGGAATTTATTACATCCGGGCATTACAAGACTTGCCAATAATTAAAATCACTGACAAAGTTTTAGTAATGTTTCAAGAAAAAAAGCTTCTATTGTTAAATCTGTATGTATGCCGACACATGCGTATGTGTGAAATTTTTGTAACATTCTTGTTCACTCGCCTAAATTAGAAAGGAAAAGGGGCAAGATCCTTTGTATGTCTGCATACCACAACACTTCTAGAAAGATTGAGTATATTATATTACAACGATTTTAGAATCTCTCCGCGTTACTAAAGTCCATATCAATACTTCTGGTCATACTCTATCCGACAACCGTGAACCTTGTCAATAGCCCTGCAACGTAGTTTCCATTGCAAAAGTCTCCGTCGTGAGGCTATTCTGTTCAAAGCATACCCATTCTTTCTTTTGGATTTCCATAAGCCATATATTGTACAGAGATAATGGTTTCCCGGTATCAGTTTCAACAGTTTGATTGCACAAAAATCAATAGGTGTCAGGAAACATGAGCAATATGTTTTTATACGCAATAGCGTTAATACCGCTTTCATTCTTCAGCAGCTTGAGATATGCAGCGGTTGAAAATTCTAAATTCCAGATCTAAACACATCTTCATGATCTGAGTGTACGAATATTTTGCATCGGAAAGGGCTGTTACACATTCTTCCCTAAAAGCGATCAATTTTCGGTAGCCAAACAAAGTCAAAATACAGTTCAGGTATATACTGTTCTACCACGACTTCATATCGGCTGTGGTTGTTACTTTACTTCCTGGTTTACATATTCAACATCATTTAAGTATAACATACTCAACCCTTTGTAGATACTTTTTGACCGTTGGCAGCTACTTTAGAAGTTTAGACTGATAGAACTTTCTACTGGTTTGTTGGTTGGTACTTTAGCTACTAAGCTTATACACTAGTTTGTTTCTGCTTGCGTGTTCATTGTTACTACTTTACTTACAGAGCTTAAATACGCCAAATGTTTTGTGTTGATTTTTTAGTTAGAACTTTACATATTTAACTGAAATACCAAACCAATCATATGATTATTAACAGATTACCTTACAGTTTCTTATTGACTCGTACCTTTTTATTGTTTGTGAACTGCTGTTTTTTTGTTGTTTTTTTTGTTGTTGTTATTGTTGTTTTGTTTTCATTTGGTATGGTTTGATATGAATTTCGCGAAAAGCTACACGAGGGCTATCTGCGCTAGCCGTCCCTAATTGAAAGATTAGAGGGAAGGCAGCTAGTCATCATCACCCACGACAACTCTTGGTTTACTCTTGTAACAACGAATTTTGGGATTAACCATCACGTTCTAACGCCCCCACGGTTGAAAGGGCGAATCCGCGACCCACAGATTGCGAGTCGAGCGTCCTAACCACCTGGCCATATACTATACGACTTCCTATCGACCCGTATTTATTTATTTGTTTGTTAATTGCCACGTTTTTGGTCCATACACTCTGTTATTAGATTGTTGGATGTATATAAAAGCTTGCCACGATGTTGTACGAATATCTTCCCTCAACAAATAGAATATTTAATGAACGGCATATATCTATAAGATAACGAGGATATTGTACGCCCCCGATGTTTGTACTTATAATATGATGACAGTATTTAACTGATAATAAAATTATAAAGGATAATTAACTCTATTAAAATTCTGCATATTATCGCTTTTAATATATCATGATAGCCAGAGCATATCACGTGTACATTTAATGAAGCAATGTGGCAAGAGATGGAGAGCATCATGGTGGATTAGCTTTATAATTCTGACTTTATGTAGCCATTAACGCTGTTACGTTCGTACAGCTTCACGTGTACGGACAACGTATATATAACTTCCTTTATGAGATTAAAGCATGTTAGCTTTTACCAGTTTGTCCCCAGAGACAACATTATTGATACTGAAACAATTAGAGAATGGATTAGTGGTATAACTCTTCCTTGCTTTGTAGAATGTTTACCAACAGCAATCATCAATATCGTTGAGTCGAAATACGTATGTTAATAAATATCTCCATTTCTAATCGTGAAATTTAAAAACAACAGAGAAGACAGATTCGCTAACTTCTTTTATTTCCTTTTCTTTCGAAGCCTGGTATGGTTAGGTAGTTAGGGCGCTCGACTCACAATCTGCGGGTCGCGAGTTCGAATCTTCGTCCCGCTAAACATGCTCGCCCTTTCAGCCATGGGGCGTTATAATGTGACGGTCAATCATTCGTTGGTAAAAGAGTTGGCGGTAGGTGGTGATGACTAGCTACCTTCCCTCTGGTCTTTCGCTGCTAAGTTAGGGACGGCTAGTGCAGATAGCCCTCGTGTAGCTTTGCGCGAAATTCAAACAAGCAAACCTTTACTTTCACTGTAAGGGTAAATACCAGGAAACATTTACGTATGTTTTCATTGTTCTGCACACCCATTAAAAAGTGAACGCTTTCTAATTGTTACAGGATGTGGCGAGCAAATTATTCATATCTAAATCATGGTTTTAATATATCTACAGTGAAAGTCATGTATATTGAAAGATGAAGAAATAACAACTGTGGTTTTGAACTTCCTCACTCGAAGGAAATATATTCGTATTATTTCAAGGACTCACCATATATGAACACTTCTTTTTTTTTTATATATTTTCATTAATTTTGCGCCAACTCTCCTTTTTTAGTAATCTTGTAATATTTCAGTGCTCAGTATTGTTTTTGCTGTTATTATTGTTTTAGCGTTCATATAGCATTTCAATGTTCATTAATGTTCCGGCTGAAATTGTTGTTTCAGCGTGTGATACTTCAGTTTTCTCTAATGTTCGAGTCTAAATATATATGTAGCCTCATTTCAACAATGCAGAGCTTTAGCGAGAGTATTTAAAAACACTTTCAAACAATTTCTAAACATCTCACAAATAATATATTTTTGAAAACATGACCCGTTTCGGCTTTAGGCCTACATTACGAGTGCTATTTGGTGCTCATGAACAAGAGTTGTGTTTATGACCGAGAAATATTTACCAGAAACATATTTATTGTCAACAGCGAAAACACCGAATCCTAAAGCCAAAGATGGCAGCCAAAAAAACGGAAGTCAGTATTATTGGGATTTTTACAGAAAAAAAAAGATACTATTGCTTTGAAGCATTATGGAAAATGTTGTTGTTTCTAATGATTTATGTATTGTGAACCACGCAAATCTTTATTTTCAACGAAAACGTACAGCCAAGGAGCATGTACGTTTTTATCTTTCCGCCATCACCTTGAACTTGGTTTTAGACCCCCTAACCAAACTTGAAGTACACAAAATTTATACATGAGATTTATTGATTGCACTAAAGCGTTTGATAGGGTGAGACATGGGGACATGCTAAAAATTCTGGACAGTCTTAGTGTTAATGGTAAAGACCTGAAAATAATTCGCAATCTGCACTGGGAACAAAGTACAACCATAAAGATGGGAAAAAATATCTGCACTTTTAAAGAAATAAAACGCAGTGTCATGCAAGGATGTATTCTTTCCTCAGACCTTTTCTCAATTTATAGCGCAATTATTCTCAGAGTTATAGAAAACAGGCCGGTGATTAAGCTTGGAGGACATAACATCAACAAATTGATGTATGTGGATGACACGGTGCTAATTGTTAAGAATAAGAAAGACTTCAAGAAATGGTAAATGTAATTATTGATAAAACTAAGAAAAAGGATCTACTCTTACCAGCAATGTTTGGTAACCTACAAAAAAGTAATATCCCAGAATATACCATTATAGTTGATGGAACCAAAATCAAACAAGTTCACAGTTTCAACTGTCTAGGCTCATTGATCACATTAGATGGTAAGTGCATAGAAGAGGTTAAAAGGAGAATAATACTTGCTAAGAACACCTTTCAAAATATGAATGCTATACTCAAATAGTAATATATCAATAAAAGTAAGAGAAAATTTATCACAATGTTACATCGAAACCATACTTTTGTATGGATGTGAAACATGGACAATAACAAAGGAAGTTAAAAGAAAAGTTGAAGCAGCCTTAAGAAGAATGCTGCTAATAGAATGGACTAAGAAGAAAAGTAATGATACAAGTGAACACAACATGCAACATCCCAAACAAAATAAGAAAGAGGCAAGCTGAGTTCATAGGCCATGTGATGAGGAAGAAAAAGATGGAGAACATAGTAACAACAGACAAGGTAGAAAGAAAGAGAAGCCATGGAAGACAATGAATAAAGATGCTAGTAGCCCTACAAAATGGTTTAGAACCGTGAAAAACAACACAAAATCATTGAAGAGCACCAATATTATAGAGAATTGAATATTCACGATAGTCATCTCCAGGCACGATAATGAAGAAGAAAAAATCAAACATAAGGCTCGTTTATGCTTTCCGGTACAATGTTCCAAAGAACCTCAAGACGGGAGCGTCAAGACGTATCCCAGTTGTCAGTTCATTGTCAGGTTCTTGTCCTTTAGCGCTTTACAACATCATTATCGCATTATCAAATGGTGAACCTTCTTCAGACAGTAATATTTACAATTATACTATAACCTTTTACTTTTAACCTTTAAATATATATATGTTATGATCATGCACTGTATTCTGTTTTGAGAGATAAAGCGCCGATGATACCAAAGCTTTCATATTCATATTTATGCTGCAAAATGAAATAATTCTAGTGCTACTAAAGAATGGAAGTTACGAAAACAAAAACAACAAAAAAAAACCTCCAAATTTTCCAGAATGCACGGTGTCGTGAATATCCGTTGCAGTAAGTTTTGTTCTCGTCCTCATTTCATTCCTATAATAAAACTAGCGTGTTAATCAAATACCTTACGTCAAACTCTCCAATACTTTATATTTCATACGTATAAAGTATTTAACTTTTCTAAATTCTTATTTGAAAAATCCTAAACCCGATCTAGGTTACGTCTCAATTCGGCCCTAGGTGTTAATTTTTTCTTGTAAGACTTGAACACGGAAACTAGCCTGTTTGGCATGGGGAAGTTACTGGTGTAAAACGAACTCTAATAATAAAAAGTAGACCCACAGTAAACACCTGTAATGTTTTGAAACTTTCGAAATTAAAGATGTTTTCAATCGTTGCCGTGCCTCTACGCTTTACCATTGGATAGTACTATTGTGTTTTACTTAACTTTGATCTAAAACAGTCACGTGGAACAGATACTTATGGATTCCTGTTTTCCAATTTTCGATTGATCAGCTACAGAGAGAAGGTGGATTGTGGACGTAAGTATGGTGTTTCAGATTCCCTGTGAAAATATCGACATTATTCCCTATATTCCCCAGTCTGGACGTAGGTATGGTGTTTCAGACTCCCTGTGAAAATCTCGACATCATTCCTTGTATTCCCCAGTCTTGACGTAGGTATGGTGTTTCAGACTCCCTGTGAAAATCTCGATATTATTCCCTATATTCCCCAGTCTGGACGTAGATATGGTGTTTCAGACTCCCTGTGAAAGTCTTGACATACTTCCCTATATTCCCCAGTCTGGACGTAGGTATGGTGTTTCAGACTCCCTGTGAAAGTCTTGACATACTTCCCTATATTCCCCAGTCTGGACATAGGTATGGTGTTTCAGACTCCCTGTGAAAATCTCGACATTACTTCCCTATATTCCCCAGTCTGGACATAGGTATGGTGTTTCAGACTCCCTGTGAAAATCTCGACATTATTCCCTATATTCCCCAGTCTGGACGTATATATGGTGTTTCAGACTCCCTGTGAAAATCTCGACATACTTCCCTATATTCCCCAGTCTGCTGGCCATGTGGTTTAAGTTATTTATTTCATCTTCAAGAACAGTTTATGCTTTTCAGTTAAATACAATTATCCACTTATTTTACTTTTATAGTCCTACTATTAAACAGTCAATTTTTTATGTTCAAGTACTTCTCTAGCTAGAAAAACGGGTTTTATTGATTTTTATTTATCCATCAGTAAAATGTATGAAACTATGTTATCAGACAAAACTGTGTTTTGAGTGAAACGTCATATATATAAGCGATTTTGTTCAATTGAGCCACCTCATTAATCGTGTTTGTTACCTAACTACTTCGGATATTGCGTACTTCCGTGTATGGACGCCGCTGCTGCTGCCGCCTTAGAACGTCGTGCGAGCTCGTACAAGATATGACGCAGACTCAGAACCGTACCACATCGCGCAGTGACCCAGTAGGCGCAGAGGAACTTTCAGTCTGTTCTTAGACGTCTAGAACTTTGCGTGAGTGAACACGTGTGGAGAGAGACGCAGTAGATTTGATAAATTTCCGGGCGTCATTCAGCCTCATTTAGCGCTAGTTTATCCATTGGATTCCCACCAGTGACATTTTCGATATAAGCCAGGATACTTTTGTGTAGTTAATGATGGAATCTCTATTCAAGGTAGTGTCATGTTTGTTTTTAGTATTTTTTACTTTTACATACCATTGGATGATAAATAATGCATTGTTAATTATTTTCTATCACGCCGTGTTTTCATGTGGTTTGTTGCGAAAGCTGATAGAAATTGCTTGATTAACGTTAAATATCAGTTACACACTGAAAATTGTTGTTATTATTTTACGTTTCGAAGTGAATCCCGAGAACTTAGACGTACCAATATAGCTATCGTATATATTTATAATATGTGAAATCAATGTCTATCTTTAACAAATACCCATAAGACGTCTTATTTTTCGACGTGATATTTGTGCTATTAGCATTACTGCCAAAAATAGATGAATAAGTCGTTAATTTCCAACTTTACCATCGTAAAAACCGAACAACAAAGAAATGTATTTAGGCTTCTGAAAGTTAATTTTAGGTTCGAAAACTTAATGATACAGTTTTCTTAGTTTTTGTTTTAACGCAATGTTTAGACAACACGTCTCTGGCATCACACTGATGTACTTAACGTTTCTTGTCTCACTGCTGATAAAAGATGTAAATATTTGGATGGGTCATGCGTTGAGAACACTTAGCCTATACAACCGAAATGTTTTATTTGAATGTTTTTACCACAGAGGAAGCTTCAGTTAAGTTGCATACGTACAGAAATATATATAGAGGGTTTTCGGTGACTGTTTTTATTTCAGAGGAAATGGCAAAGAAGATTCGTTGTGATTTATTATTTTAAAATTTAACTCATTTTTTTGAGAATTTAGTGTTATTATTCGCGATTCGTTGTGATTTATTATTTTATATTTAACTCCTTTATTTGGGAATTTAGTGTTATTAATCGCGATTCGTTGTGATTTATTATTTTATATTTAACTCCTTTATTTGAGAATTTAGTGTTATTAATCGCGATTCGTTGTGATTTATTATTTTATATTTAACTCCTTTATTTGAGAATTTAGTGTTATTATTCGCGATTCGTTGTGATCTATTATTTAAAATTTAACTTTTTTTTGAGAATTTAGTGTTATTATTCGCGATTCGTTGTGATTTATTATTTTAAATTTTAACACATTTATTTGAGAGTTTAGTGTTATTATTCACTCGAACTATAACATTTTAACAAATTTAGTATTTACAGCTATAACTGATGGTATGATATCATAGTCTCGTGCTTCTCGAACTGTAGAGTTCAAATCATGGGACTTCTTGCGTGACCTTCAAACACCATCAAGAAGGTTAGCAGTGGACGTTTGGGACGTATATTTCAGATTTCTTTATCTCTCTTCTTGCTTCACATAAGCTGTTCTCAAGCTATTACATGTCGAGCGGTTTTAACAGAATACTACAATTTGACACGAGCTCTGGCTCTTGAAACAAGACTGACCAGAGTCTTATCGTTATCGCTTATAAGACAATGCTCTGTGAAAATAGGCACCTTACTCAAACACTCCCTTTGTTTCTGCGGGTCACAATTTCGAACATGTTCGGTTTTGAAAACAAACAATGAATTTTCATTCCAGACGCTTAAAATGCAAAACAATAATATATAACATGTTAAGCCTCACAATCTTATATAGGATGACTTTTACCGCCCACGCGTTATACAAGCCTACCACATAGTGTGAGTTGAATTATCTGTGGAAGGTAATATGCCCTTATACGTTGCTTTCATTCGATAACACGTACACATTTAGAAAAAAAAACAATTTAGGCCAAGTCAAATGATGGCACGAATACATCGCGGGACCAGCAAACTGGTTTGGTCAGAAAATAGTGTACAGATACTATGGAGTTGTAAAACAGTGTAGAGTTACTATGGAGCCGGAAAGCAGCGTACGGTACCTGTAGAGTCAGAAAACAATGTACAGTTACTATAGAGTCAAAACAGCTAACGTACAGTTATAACTGAGTCAAAAAACAACACAGTGTTACTATCGGGTATAAACCAGCATACAGTTATTATAAGATCAGAAAACAGCGTACATTTACTAAGACTTTTCGGAACATATAAAGAGAAATATCTCTGTTAGTTTCAGGACATTGTTCAAATAAACTCTTAAGTTTATCACCAAAAATAAATATTCAGAAGAAAATGTATGAATTTAAAAATTTATTCCTTAAATAGACTTACGATGTTATGAAGCTTATAATTTAGAAAATGTGTTGGCATATTATGCACTTTGTGAAACGTTACCAATAGAGGGTATTATCAATGGAAATAGTAAATAATAAACCTTAAATGATACATATTAAATATAAATATAAATAAATGTAAATATAATATAAATTATAATTAATTATAAATATAAAAATATAAATGTTTTCATATAATATTATATATTTATATAGAAAGAGTGTGTGTGTTTCAAACGTCACTTCCGCTATTCAGAGGATCTGCTTTCAGTTTCAGGTTAACAGGAAGTTGTGAAACTTGTTGTCTTGACTAATTTTTTGGAAGACAACGCTTATCTAGCAGTGACTTGTTAAAAACTTCTGGAACAGAATTTTAAATGCCCATAGTTACCATGTATTATGACTCATAACACAACATTGTGTCTATTGGTTCACGAAACGAATTTGTCTGAACAGCGGAAGTGATTTTGAAACATCCAGTAATATATTCACGCGGTTTACGGAATTAAACGTATTTTTAGCATAAATGTTTCATTCTATTTGCATATCTGTAAATAACCAACACCTGCGGAACATTTCCAGTGTCTCGCAATTGTAGCATTTAAAAAAAAAAATGAATTTTTGAAGCTACATTTCACTATTCCGGTCTTAGTCATAATACAATCAAAGTTGACAAATGTATAAATTTCGCTAGACGGAAAACGATATAATAATTCAAGAAAAAATATCAGGCAGGCTGTAGCGCTGCCTATGTAGGGATGACTCGGATTGTTAATCGAAATGGTATTTTAAATATCTCTTCAATAGGTTATCAGAACTTTACAATACTATACAGTGTTTCCTGAGTCACAAGTTCTCGGAATGTTTGTAAATATCATAGTAAAAAGTTTGAATTTCTTGTGTTAGTTTTTTATTACAATGATAACTCAAAAAACAAAACAATTTTTTTAGCCAATTTTAGTGTGATGACATAGTTTCATATAGATTATCCGTTTTTATAAGTATTATCAATAACTAGTAGTAATTAATAAATCATAATTCTAGTGTAAACAATGTTATCAATATCCCTTGAAGTTAGCTTTCTTACCGAAATTTAATGTTCAAAAAAAAGCTTGGTTACAGAGTGAAACAGCGATTACTAGCCAATAATAGATAAACAATAAACATTACAGTTAAAACTTCATTGTATTTAGAACTTGGGTATAAATACAAACTTCATACGTCTATTGAAACACTGCATTAAAAAAACAAGCAAACGAATAAAGAAAAACGTTTCAAAAAAGGAAGTAAATGCCATCCCTACTATCTTGTTTGCATTGTTTTCGAAAAATTGATATTAGCCATCCATACATTTACTTCCCTTTATTGAAAAGTTTTTTTTGTTTTTTTTTATATTTTGATATTGGCATAGCTAAAATACATTATAGCCTGGAAAAGATAAGTAGAAACATCTTACAACTCTTTTAATTGAAATATTCTATTCAGTAGATAATATTAGACACAGTACACAATTAAAACATTTAATTATTTTGGATTATTCACGAAATAAGAGACAGGCAAGTTTGACTAACAGTTAACTAATCTTAATTTAACACTAACCTGCCCCCCAGTGGCTCAGCGGAATGTCTGCGGACTTACAACGCTAGAAACCGGGTTTCGATACCTGATAGCCCACTGTGTAGCTTCGTGCTTAACTTCAAACAAACAAACACTCTAAACCAGCTCACATTTCCACTGAGTTAACTTAAATGAATTAAAATAACACATCAGTGAGCTGAATTCCAGACAACTGGACGAGTTTGCTGGTTGAGACACAACACAAAACAACAAACGCGAACAAAACTAACTTCGGACGCACATTATCAACCATCAGTTTGGTGACCTAGCAATTATATTACCAATTCACCTCCATATCACAATTGTATAAGGGGCAACATCAAAGGGTGAATACCACATAATATAAAAGATCTAGGTAATGTTTAAAGTAATGCATATAAAAAAAACAAAAATGTTTTCATACGTCGATAATAGGAAGAGAAAATTTGATTTGTTTTATTATTCATAATAAGGTATGGTGTATGATATAAGAATAACACAAAGAAAGTGTAACTTAACTTACTGTAATTTATTGATTTTTTTTCTTGGTCGTATTTCTGTTTCCGTTAACTATTGCCTTATTTGTTTGACAGGATATTGGTAGCTGAAATGAAAATTTATCAGAAAAGAAATTCTGATAGATGTTGAACCAAATACAAGTGTTACACTATTACCACCATTTGTGGCATCATCAACGTAAAGTGGCGCAGGAATCTGTTACACGAAAAGTAGAAAACTGCAAAATGAGGACAAAAAAGTGGAAGTGGGGGGTTCTTCACAATGTTGGACTAGTGTGGCTTTTGGTGTTAAGTTCATGGTTCACGGT